AACACACACACACAAACACGCACACGCAAAAGCGCAGACACACACACGCTCACATGCACACGTACATACACACGTACACGCGGATATCGTATGTTCCAGATATGTGCAGGGACGCAAATCCATTTTAAAAAGTGGGGGCCAGACGTGGTTTAAGAGCCTGGGAGGGAGCGAAGCGGCCGAAGGAGGAGCTGGGGAGCGGTATTCCAACGGTAGAAACTTTTTGTATTTTTGATCTCTAAAAGGTTCAATTTCGCGCATTTTAATTGCAAGTATCAACTATTGTTTGTATCGCTTACATGTCACAAACTAGGTCATCTGATCACTAGAGGTAGAGGAATTTTCAAAACTTTCCATTTCAAATAATGATTTTTTACTTCTTCGTGTATATCGTTGATTGTATTCCTTCAGAAGCTTCGATCCATTTTGAGGAAGGAGGGGGCGCAAGCAGTATATTCAGAATTTAACGTGTTAAAGTATGGTAGCTTCAACTATGATATCTTGATGTATCTCTTAAATTTATCTCAAAACTAAATTTAAACTTAACAGTTTTCACATGTACTGATATTTACAACCATTCACTGAGTGAAACATGTTTATTTTTATAGATACTGAAGTCTGAGATAAAAAAAGGACTGGAATTCTCTTTTTTTTTAAAGGTAGTAGCACTTATTTGCAAAGCGTAGTGAGAGGTCGTGAACAAATTTAGGCTCATTGTAACTTACAACGAGGACTCATCAAAATAAACATATCACAGCATTGAATTTATGGTTATAATGCGACATATAAATGAGAAATTAAACGTTTTCCTCTTAAGGCGACTGGAAGACGTCTTATAAACCCAAAGAAAATATACTGATCCCAATTGGAAATGAAATTTTATGGAAATTGGAAGAGGGTGCAAATGAGGGCTACTACACTGTATCTAAAGTAATAGACTTTTGTTTACACTGTATTTGAAATGAAAGACACTACGAATACCGTCTTGACCCTGTGTCTCTTAACCCATAAACTGCAAATTTTTTTTTTGATTTTGGATACTTTTCATGTATACTCCTAAAAAAGTTCGGAAATTCAGGTTTGATCGATGATATCTTTCTTGTACCTGCATTATTATCATTGCATTTAATATCATTTGAAAGCCTGTTCATTTCCCTTTACAATGATGCCCCATTTGCAATGATTATGCAATTGGGGGATGTGAAGTACAGCTGAATATGCAGTACAGCTCGAAACAAGAGCCAATATAAAGGAGAATACACTTTTGACAATAGCAATGCATTTTGCAACATTTCACTTCGGACCCACCGTCATATTCAGGTCTAACGATAAGAATTTATTAGACAAATCGTAGCTGAGATCCCCTGACCTAACTAAATTCATTTTCATCACAAAATAAAGCTCCTCTGGTGAGATATTGCGCATGTGCTAAAACAGCAACGTAGCCATGTTATCTAGTGACTGGTATATGCAGCGGGAACCTTACATGCAAGGTATGCGTCCTTTTTCTGAAGTGAGGTCTACTGATAAAGTTTTATCATAAAAATCTATGCTAGGATAACTCCTCGTCAATTTAAATTTATAATGTTTGCAATATATTATTCTTCTCTGGAGATATTGCGCATGCGCGAGCACAGTTTTAGACGTGCAATACGGCTAACGGACAAGTACGTAATTATAGCTTGCTGAGGGAGAGAGGGGTGGGAAACTGAGGGGAAGTAGCAGGGAAGGTGGCAGAAAGTGGAGGGGCGATGGAAGGAGAAGGACGCTGAGCTTGCGACAATGGAG